GATCCGTGGAACGAAAACAATGTGTCTTCATGTAAAGAATCACCAGCAGCTTGAAAAGTTTCAAGCAGCTTGAAAAGTTTGTCGGAAACAGTTGCATGCGTTGGGCAACCGGTTCACTTAATTCCCTTGTCAACATTTTCAGCCTCCGGGAGGAGGGCTTCAAGTGCGCCAGCCAGCATGATTGCTTTGTTTAGAAGAGATATGTTTGTCTTCTTCAGCATTTGAAAGGGTAGCTGGACTGGTCTGTTTATTTATTTATTTTATTTAGTTAAAGTTTTTATATGCCGTCCCCTTGGTACATAGCCTCTGTTGCTGCAGAAACAACCGTCTCGTGGTTTTCCTCAGTATTTGTGGCATTCTACAAGCAGGTGCATTAGAGCACTGCAGGCTGCTGTTCCTTCCATTAAAAATACATCTGGGAGGGAACCAAAAATACATCTGGGAGGGAACCTCTAACCTTTCCGTACCCACCACCTTTCCACTCCATTCCACTCCAAGCTGCTGTCTTCACCCACACCAAGATGCATACTTAACCTGTCAAATACACACCTAGAACTGTTCAGAGGAAGAAATGTGAGAAGCAGCTGTGGGGGGAGGGCTTTCAGGGCAAGGGTTAAGCCCCTTCTCCCCCCCCCCCCCTTTTGAGCTTTCCTGCCAAGATCGGAGGCCTTCTAAAGCTGCTTTTCCCGGAATCCATCCATCAATGGTGTTTTAATGTGCATATTTGTGTAAAGCATTCAGTCTGGCCTTCAATGATTCAGAGAGCCAATGGACAATGTGTGGGTTGCTACATTTAAAAAGTAGTGACTCCTGAATGAGAATATCCCTGGGAAGGCAAACGGATGATCGCACTTGAAGCGGAAAGAGAAAGGTAATTTGGCCTGCTAGAGAAGCAGCGACGCGCAGCTGACCTGGAGGATCATCGGGGGAAAGTGATCTCCCTGACACGTCAGGCTCTGTACCAGTTGCTGGGAAATAGAGCAGGGCAGTGCGGTAACACCAAGTTCCTTTGTGCGTTTCCTGCTGGCAACCGGTCGCTCGCCGTGCCAGTCAGATGCTGGACTAGTTGGGCCTTGGTGGCATCCAGCAGGGCTCCCCTTACATGCCTCCGTTGGGTGAGGAGCTGTACAAATTGCGGTTTACACCCTGTAAAAATCCAAAGGATGGTTCAACATGCTTTCTGATGTCACATCCCGCCAGTAAGTGCAGCAAATATTCGCTAGCTGCCTTGAGTGACTTCGGCTGACCTGGCAGGAAATTACAGAATGACTGAATAAGCTATTTCTTCATACGCACAGCTGTGACTTTGCAGTATTGTGCTCCCCTCTCCCCGGCCAAGTGGATTTCCAACTGCCAGGTGCCTTCAGAACTTAGAACCGGAGAGAAGCACTTCTGTCCCCACACATTAGCTAGCCGGGTCAGCTCCGGGTCTGGGGACGCAGGCCAGCGTGTCTTCTGACCACGCCTCCTCTGTCTGGGAGCACCAAGCCGTTCTGGGCAGCGGTGACCTTCCAACTCCCATAATATGCCTGTGTGACTCCTGGCCAGATTGTTTTGGAAGGGGCCCAGCAAAGCTCCTGCCCAAAAAAGGAGGCAAAAATCAGCAAGCAGCAGCCCTGAAAGTAAAGCTGCTGGGAAGCAGGGGTGCTTGGTTGTTATTTTGAACTGTGTGCTTCTAAGCCACCTGAAAGCTATGCAAGAGAAAGGCTGGGCATAAATCTTCCGAAGAAAAAAGCAGTCTGAGCGTGTTCCCCTAAGGAGACACAAGACTAAGCAGACGAAGCACGTATCTAGGAGTGGTGCTCCTTATCTCCTGTTTTCCAAGCAAAAAATCACTCCAAAGGATTATTATCCTAGAATGTGTTTGACATTTCTTAGGGCATTTATTTTTTGGCATTGGAAAAGAGAGAGCCCAACCCATGACCAAAAATATTCAAAGCTAGCGCCAAATACTGAAGGGAAGATAATTAATGCAAGCTTGCTAATGTGGATGGAGGTCAATTTCTGGTGAGTGCCATCGTGGATTGTGCTTTAGCGTTGCAAACCATTTCTCATCCACTGAGGAGGAGAGTCTGTTTTACCCGCTCCATATTTTGCAACGATTGGTCCGTGATTGTGCAACATGCTTGCAGAATGGGCCATAGTGAAGCTGCATTATACTGACTGAGACCTCATTCTTGCCCCAAACACAACCTTCCTCATTCTGGAACTTTCTAGATATGTTGGGTGACAACTCCCATCGTCCCAAGACAGCTTGGGGAGGATGGGAGTTGCAGCCCAAGATACTTGGAGGGCATTGAACTGGGGAAGGCTGGGCTAGGCTGAGAGTGACCCAATGCACATGACACAACAGCCTGGTGTGGGTGAACTTTTGCCTGGCGATTGTGCCATGGTCTATTGGCTCATGTGAACCGGTGGTAGGGCCGGGTCGTTTGCAGGTTAGCCGACCTTCAGATGACACTAAAACAAGCCATGGGTTACATGAAAGCAGTCTGAACCTCGAGCGTCGGACCTCCACCTGCATTTCCAGGACAAAATCAGCCGTGCAAAACTGTCACAGGCGCTGGGAAATTGTGGCAGCCTCCGCAAGGGAGGGAAGCGCTGTTGGCAGCGGCTCATCAAGATGTCAAGATCGGGGGTCCTTTCCAGTTCCGCTGCCTGGAATGCTTGTCTTTGAAAATCACGGGGTTTAGCTTGAGTCCTCCTGTGTTTCTCCATAGAAACGTTTGCGGTTGTATTCGTTCCTCTGCAATCCACGCACCCCCTGAAGCCTGAAGGCAGCCAATGGCAGCAAACACAGAGCTCAAAAGAGCAGCACACACAAACGAGGACCGAGAACAAAAGGAAGCGGCTGTCCTTTGGGTCCCATCAGCCATGTTGCTGGGGGTTGATGGGAGCTGGCGCGGAGTGGTGTGCTCATCACCTACAGCAGTGGAAGGAGGCTTGCTATTGAAATTGTTCTGGGATGCTCCGTTGTGGCTTCAGCTTCAGTGCAGCAACTTTTAGCCGGCCAAAGGCTCCCCGGAAGAAGCCTTTTCTGACACATTCTCTCTTGTGTGCCGCAGAGGCTTCCCACACACAAGGTCCAGCCTAGACAATCGACTGGGCAGCATTCCCGGTACATAGTACAGAGGAAACTTTTCACTCGGAAGAGGATATAAAATTGACCCGGAAGGCACCATCTTAAAACATTCAAGAGCAAACACAGGCATTACGATTCTAATTCAAATCGATACATTCTGCCGATTTTGGTCACATATCCCGTATCCCAGCAAAGTACATAAGCACATCCTTTAGATTTTATTTGCATGCATTATTTAAGAACATTTGGGTTTACCCCATAATTAGGCGGAATTAATGTTCTGTGCATGAGCGTTGGTTCATTCTGCCCACTCCCACTGAGCAGCTGTGCACAAAGGATGCCCAATGAAGCACTGAGGCAGCGAGAAATCCATGTTTTCCTTGTTGCTTTCTTGATTTTACAATAGGCCCAACAGAGAGGAAAAACAGCAGGAAAATGGCTTGGAACAGGATGTCATTTTTGCAGCCCCGTCTACTGCATTGTCTTAAGCACACCTGTAGTAGCGACTTGGGACACAGCTCGTGTTAAACTCGTTTAAGCGATGCCAGTGAAAGGATTAAGTATATGCTTAATTCTCTGCCACTGAAACCAGTGAGATTCCAAATGCTTACCTTTGGCAGAATCCTAACCAGGACTGCAATATTGTTGATGGGAACATAATTTTCATGATAAAAATAAATTATATTGGTACTCGTTTAGATTTTAGCAACTGAACTGTTTACAAAACAATTTTAGCAACTGAATTGTTAGAATTGTTAGATTTTAGCAACTGAATTGTTTACAAAAACAATGTGGAAGAAGAGAGAGTATTCAAGGGGAAAATCTGGAATTTCACCTACCAAAATTGCCTTTACTCAGTAACATCTCAGTATTGAATGCATCCATTTGCATGATAAACTTGTCTCTGCTGTATTTTAACCTATTTCAAATGCTTTGACGAGCATGGAAAATGACATTGACCAGTAGCAACGTGTATGCAGCAGAATCATGTCATAATCTTATTGTAGTTTTGGTCTAACAGCTCCTTAATCAAATGCAGGGAATTCACAGGCTAACTGAATTCTATTATTTTAAGCCATCAGATTCCAGCCGAGCTGGGTATTTGCTGCTGATAGGCCTCAAGAGATGCAAACTTAATAGATACAACATTTTAAGAGCGGCAGAAGTAGATGGATTTTTCTCTTGTGTGATTTCACAGTAGTTTTGCATGAGTAAGAAAAAGCTGGTCCTGGGCAAAGCCACTTTCTTCTTTTTTCCCATCCTTGGAATTATTTGTTTAATGTTTTGATTTGGAAGTAGAGATGGAAGTAAAGATGAAGGGGGATGAGAGAGAGAGAGAGAGAGAGAGAGAGAGAGAGAGAGAGAGAGAGAGAGAAAGCTGTATGCACTGCTTTAAACATGCTTGGAAAGGGACCGACCGACATGCTTGGAAAGGGACCGACAGACCCACCCTTCCTCCAGCTATTCCGCAGGGGCTTCCAAATCCAGTGTTCATAGCACTACCTGTCAAAAGCCCCCATGCAGCCATTCGGCCCTTCCCTCCTTGGCAGAATTTCTGTGTGCTAAAGGAAAAGACAGAAGAAGGACAAACACAGGACGGTACACGGGGACCCACTGTAAAGTCCAGGCATGAGACAAGGGCAAGAGCACAACATAAACTTCATCGGGAAGCGCCCGGGTGGCCGTCCAGAACGTTGCTAGACTTGCACCAAACCCACACTGCCGTTGCTGCAAAAATCCTACCCCGTCCTCACCTTGGGAGTTTTACAGCCAGGTTGACTCCCTTTGCCAGTTATGAAGAGGCCATTTATCAAAGTGCACGGTTTCTCTCTCTCCAGTTCCCGTATCTCCCCTCCCCTCCCCTCCCTCGGCCTCCTGTACATTCATCACCACTATCACAGTAAAAACATGGAGCTGGCTAGATGTATTCGTTCTTCCCTGCCCGGGCCTCCCCCTGATCCGGCTCCCAACAGTATTTGTCGGTGGCACTCTTGGTTTTCTCCTTGTCTTTCTTGTCCTTCATCCTCCTGTAGAAGACCCAGCTCAGAGCAGCCGCCACCAGCAGGAAAAGAGCCAGTCCACCCAGGATGTAATACGGGAGGTACTTGGAGGCTCCACTGTCCTTCTCGACACCATCGCTGATGACGTGGTTTTCCGCATCCTGTGGATGGTTGAACACGGGCGGCGGAGAAGTGGAGCCCAGGGACACAGAGCTTCTGTCTTCTTGGGCTTGAACAGACGATTTGGACACCAGATCTTGCACCATTGCTGTAGGACTGGTGTTGGCCAGGCTCCATGGCTCCCCCTGCTGGCCGGGTGGGGCGGAGGTGCTGTGCATGGCACTCAGGAGGCACGAGAAACCGTCGGGAGCCAGGACCCAGCCTGGCCTGCAGGAGCACTCATAGCTGCCCAGCTGGTTGCTGCACATGTGCTCACAGTACTCCTCCTGGCATTCGTTCATGTCCAGACAAGCGGAGCCGCTGACCCCTTCCAGCTGGTAGCCGGGCCGGCAATAGCAGTGGAAGGAGCCCTCCGTGTTGGTGCAAAGCTGCTCGCACGGTGCGTGCTCGGCACACTCGTCCACGTCCTGGCACGCCTGGCCGTCGGGCCCAGCAGGTGTGAAGCCCAGGCCGCACTGGCAGGTGAAGCTGCCCGGGGTGTTGATGCAGGTTTGCTCGCAGGGCGGCTGGGCGGCGGTGCACTCGTCCACATCCACGCAGCTTAGCCCGTCCTCGGCCACGCGGTAGCCCGGGGCACAGAGGCACTGGAAGCCCCCGGGCTGGGCCACGCACTGCCCCTGGCACGGGTTGGAGCTGCAGTAGTCCACCAGGACGCAGGAAAGCCGGTCCCCTCCGAGCCGGTACCCCGCCTGGCAGGCGCACCGGAAGGAGCCCCCCGGCCCGTCCAGGCACGTGTGCTCGCAGCCCCCGTTGCTGTAGCCGCAGCCGTGCGTGCGTGAGGCGCAGAAGGGCCCCGGGCTGCTCCAGCGAGAGCTGTTGCCGTGGGTCTGCGGCTTGCACACGAGGAAGGTGCTCAGCGCCTCCTCTCCGCACAGCACTTCCGCCGAGGAGCCGAAGGGCACGGCCGCGAGGGAGGCGGTCGTGACCCCGAAAGGGGTGGTGTACCGGACGGTGCCCGGCCCTGCCAGAACGAGTGGACGGCACGTGCCCTGGAAGCTGAACTTGCACAAGTAGCCCGGCTTCCCGGCCGCCGAACGGCCGCAGTGGCCATCTGCCCAGGCCAGCTGCTGAGGTGCGGAGGGCACCCCCTGCAGGGCCACGCACCTGTCTGCAGTGCACGTTTCCCGTGGCTCCTGCCGCCAGTCCGCATAGTGGCCCTCCTCGCCTCCTGTCACCCAGCTGAAGCCCCTCAGAGGCCGGTGTTGCTGGTAGCACTTGCCCTTCTCTCGATGGAGCCCGATCCACAACCTTACCTCCGCATCTGGGCCAGTTTCCCCGGCGGGCATCTTGGCTAGCAGTTGCCGGACAAGCAGAGCCTCATCCTGGCTCTTCAGCGTCACCAGGTTCCCTCCATTGTCTTGGCACTTCTGCTGCGCCTCCGACCAAGTGTGCCTCCCAAAGTCGAGCGTGTAGCAAGCCGTCCCAGCACAAAGCACCTCCACCGCTTCGCTCGGCTGGACCGTCAGCCCGCAGAGCAGCGCTCGCCAGAGGACGTGAAGGATGATCCCCATGTCGAACGAGCCAAGGAACAGCGAGCTCCGCGAACTCCCCATTGCAAGCTCAAATCGTAAAAATAAATTGTGCAGAACACATGCGAAGACAATGAAGCAAGACTGTTTGCCTCCCATATCCCTTCATCTCCGCAGCTGGGTCCATATGCATCCTGTCTTGTTTTGATTCTTATTTGTCACCGGAGACTCAAGTTTCCTGAGAAAACCTTTTATTGTTCACTGCAACCCTTGTTATCCAGTTTGATTTAACCTGTTATTATTAGAAACATCCTTCTTTTTATACCCTCTTTGGGCATTCTTGTCTTTAACGTAATCCCTTTCTTCCATGTGAGAATCTTGCTGGAATGCTTCTTCTCGTCTTTTTTTAAAGTCAGAAAATATCATCAAGCTTCTAAACCACCCAAATAGGGCCTTCCAGTTGTCAGGCCGTGACTGAAAAAAAACCATTTTATTTTGGAATCATATTATCTGGAGACGAGTTGCCATACAGTTCTGCCTTTTTTTTTTTCCTGAAAGGAAAAACATTGCATTGCTTCTTCGCAATATGAATCTCACATTTTTATGATCTTTAAATAGACACAGAAGCCCTTAAACAGAAACTGGGTCATGGGAAAGTCTAGGCTTTAAAGAAGAGTCACGTTTTTGAAGAGTTCTGGACCAATTCGTGCACACTGTGAAGTTCCGACGCAGCCAAATTTGATAGGACAACATTCCTGTTGAGCGTAGCAGGTAGAGGATTTCACCCCAAGCGCTGCAAGAAATTTGGTCGGTGCAGCGACCAATATAGAAATATGCGAACTAAGAGTTCTAATGAGCTTCTTGCCTTTGGTACTCAGACTGTGCCCTGCAAACGGTACCTATGAAAACACCACAACAAGGCCTGCTGTCCAGTGTGGAATCTCCTTGTAAGGCATTTGCAGTCAGTTCGTACATGGAGCTCAGTATTTTCCCACTGGCGGCAGCTCACCCATGTTCCAGACAAGCCCTCTCTAGGTATGGGGAGCCAAGGTTCCATTTGGATGCCAGGAAGTACTTCCTGATGGTTCGGGCCCCTGGGGCGTGGAGTGGGCTGGGTTCTCCTGCACTTTTCTCAACAGCTGCCACATGGCTGGGGCGCAGCTGCACCATCCATGTAAAGGCCAGGATGAACTGGAAACAGAGGAACAGAGTGAGTCAGAAGGGGCCTCCTGGGCCATCTAGTCTGACCCCCGTCTCCAGCCGGCTCCGCTCATGACATGCCCACCATGTGCATGTCCAGCCTATCCTTGAACACCCTCACCGATGGGGCTTCAACTGCCTCCTCTGGAAGCCTGTGGAATTGCCTGAATGCATGGCCAGACCATGAGCTTTGCTCCTGGAGGTCTCGCACAAGATACCTACTGCAGAGCCTTCCACATGATGAAACCAGCTGGACTGGGAGCTGTGTCTTATTTGGCCTCTGGTGATGGGATGGAAGCCCTCGCCTCACCTGAGGGCGGCATCCAGCCTGGAACACGCAGCCTTCTCACAGAAAACCACCGGCAGGGAGTGCCATAGTTCCTGCTTCCGCTCCATGTTGCATCTACCAGTGGAGGGGACCTCATTCCAGCTAATGGTGGGGCCTGTGCTGCCCAGGGGAATTGTGGGAGAGCAGGAGAACCTGCCTGCATCTCAGGACTGAGGAAAACAGGCAGGAAATGGAGATGAGCAGGGAAGGGGGGAAGTGCTGCAGAAGAAAGACAGGGAAGAAATGGCTGGGTCGGTAAGTAGAGTGACCGGGGACAAGACATGCCTTGGCATCCTTTTGAGGAGCAGGGCATATGTTTTGAGAGCATATGTTGACCGTGCCAACTCAGGTCCAGCAGTTCCCTCCCTTCTGTTGAGGCTCTCCACTGCCTCCCCCGCATCCTCCGCTGCAGAAGTTGGTTCTTCTGGAGAAGGTGCGAGCGGGTGAGGGTTGTCTGGTAGGAACAGGCCCTGGCTCTGGATAGTCCACACTTGCATGTCCAAAGTTACAAAATTAAACGATGCCAACACAAAATGAGCACGAGCAGCTTTTGACTCAAAGTGGGAGTCTTGATCTCATCAGGAATCCACGTTGCGGCTCTTGCTTCCCGCATACACCTTGGAGATGTTCAAGCTTACCTGTGCTGCTCAGCTACACTCCTATGTGCTGTTGACCTGTCCTCTTAAAGCTCTTCTTTTGGGAAGTGGGGAGACACCCTGGACAGGCCAACGGTTTGCCTTTCCTGGAGGTCCCTTTTGTGTCATCTCAGTCCCTACTGTTTTTCCCCAATGTGCCTACAGCAACCTTCCTACACAATCCCCCTCGCCAACCAAATTGTGTACGTAACTGATAAAAGGATCATACACAGACTCCATCTTTGTCGTCCCGTCAGGGGCTGCCTGCCCACCGTGCACATTTCCCACATCTCTGAATAAACCCTAAATGTTCTTTTGATGGATTGCCCACCCCCAGCGGACTTCCCGTGGGCATTTTCTCTCTCTCTCTCTCTCTCTCTTTCTTGTACGTCATCACAAGAAAGCCTACTAAACACAGGCCTTGCTGCTAACAGCACAATAAAAGTGTGTCATGGACTATTTGTTGTTTTAACTTCTGTACAACTGTCTTGAGGGTCTTTTGAATAATTGAAAATACGTATTTATTAATTATTTAATAAAAGGAATGTCGTGTCTGACCCCACGTCTCCCTGATATGCACCTGGGCAAAGCAACCCAGTTCAGGCAGCACCAGACCAGGGAGAAAGGAGGAGAGGAGGCGGCATCTAAATGGTGTAGAAAAGGGGTGGGGGTGGGGGGGTGTTTGGTTTTGGCTTAGTGTTTATTCTTGATTTTGATTCCGAGATTTTTTTCATCTGTGAAATGTTATTGGTTTTACGTGTTTATTTAACCATTTGTTTAATTATTGTTAACTTGCTAGATCGTTCGTTTGTGATTTTTGCAAGCCGCCCTGAGACGCTTTTGCATATCGGGCAGGGTATAAATATTTTAAATAAATCAATAAACATCTCCAATACTTTGGTAAGATTCAGCTGTGAATGGAGCTGATTGTTCAGACATCCATCACATCTTTCTCCCTGCAGTCATATATCTTGGGATTGTTTGACTTAAAAGAACCCACAGCTCTTCTGGAAAGCCATGGCTCATGGCTCATATTCCACACAATCTCTGTTGCTTGGGGCCCGGCTATCTGAAGGACCATCTAACCCATATATGCCCCCATCCCCTCAGATCAGCCCCGGAGGCCCTTCTACGAGAGCCACCCCTCCAGGAGATGAGAAGGGGGGCAACCAGGTGAAGGGCCTTTTCTGTTGCTGCTCCCCATCTCTGGAACTCCCTCCCTCGGGAGACTCACCTGGTGCCATCTCCATTTTCTTTTCAGCACCAGGCAAAGATATATCTTTTTAGAAAAATGTTAAACATTTAGCTCCTGAATGCTGTGGCCCTTTTTATACTGTTGTTATAGATGTTTTAATTTGTTTGTGTTTTAATAGGTTTTTAATGTTTTGATTATGTTTTAATATGCTTAATGTATTGTAAGCCACCTAGGAAGGCCTTCACAGTTATGGGCGGCCTATAAATATAGGTATTCACATGTAACACCAGTCCCTCTATTGCTTACACTGGCTGCCAATTGAAGCCCAATTTCAGGTGCTGGTGATGACCTACAAAGCCCTAAATGGCTTGGGTTCTGGATACCTGAAGGAGCGCCTTCTCCGCTATGTGCCCTCCCTCCCCTTGAGATCTGGGGCAGAGACCCTCCTCCGGCAACCATCCTTGAAGGAGATCAGGAGGGTGGCTACCTGGAGGAGGGCCTTCTCGGTGGTGGCACCCCTATTGTGGAATACGCTCTCCAGAGAGGTTCGCCTGGCGCCAACACTTTGTTCTTTTCGGCACCAGGTGAAAACCTTTTTACTCTCCTGTTATTTTAATGTTTAATTGGCTTTAATTGTGATTTTATTGTGAATTGCTGCTATGCCATTTTTTATCTGTGCTTGGTATAAACCATCCTGAGACACTAGTAATGGGACAGTCTATAAAAGCTTTAAATAAATAAATACATGTGATTGATAGATTGGATGGATGGATGGATGGATAAGATGGAAAAAGATCTTGTGCTTCCTTACCACTGGGACCAAACTAGCCAATACACCCAAGGTTTGCTTCACAAGTAAATGTGCAATATATGTGCATTTAGGAATGTGAAGCAAAGCATGCGTGCATTTATCATTTAACTGTTATTATTTAAATACAAACTGTAGAGGTGGCAGGCAATTAGGATATGGGCAATGCCACCTAGGGAGCAAATGTTTAATTCTGTCTCTCCGTGCTGCAATACCAGATAAATTCCTATATATAACCCCACCAAAACACATTTATGGTTTTTCTCTTCCAGAAACTAGAAAGCAAAGAAAGCCTTCCAAGTCCTAGCTAACAGCATCACTTTAAGATGGCCCAAACATGCGCCTTGCTTTTCTCCTAAGAGAATGTCTCATCCTATTTTCCCTCTTACAAGCTCTGCTCACCGTATGGTGAATCAAGGTCAGTTAGAGGATCACAAAGCCTTTCCAGAGGCTTTCAAAAGACAAAGGCAAGCAGCGTTGGAGCAGGGCTCCTCCTCATGCACAGTTCCTGGGTCTAAAGAGGAAGAATTCCCTAGCAGATTGTGCCCTTGGTTTATCTTGGGGAACCAGCAAATTCGGCTTAGCAACTGTGTTTGGGGTGGTATTGTGCTCTTAACTGAACATCCTGCTAGGATATCCTGTAGCGATGTCTTGGCTGCTTATCTCTTGAATCATGTTGGTTCTTCTCAATCACAGGAAATGTCCATAATGTAAATGATTTCTAATGTGTGTAAGGTATAGTCTGCTGCATTTTAAGCAGCCCGGGGCAGGCATTCTATATGCGGAGAAAACAAAGATGCGGGGTGCCCAGCCCTCTTCCGTGTCGTGCTTGCCGCCCTCTGCTCATGGGGAACAATGGTCTGCAGAGAAACGTCT